GATTAATTGCGGCGCGTCCGCTTGGGAGACGGGGCTTGGCAGCCCTGAAACCCCTACCACTGTATACGTTTCGGCGACAATATGGCTGATCAAATATCGAATACAATACTCTGACTACTGCGAGACTCGACCTGAACGAATGCGTGCAACCGTGCAGTTCCCTGAGTTGCCGCTGCGGGAGAAATGGCGGCGTTGCGATTGCCATTAGTTTGGTTCTCGATTAAGGATCGGTGCCACCTTTTCAGAGTATGGGCTCTATGGCAGTTTCTTAACTGAGCTGTTCGAGTAACATTGCTATATGCACCTTAAAATGAAAGAAGAACGCCACAGCGGAGCGGCAACGCTCCAATGCTTGATTTGAAAGGCTAGGTTGTTGCAGACTTTCTTTTGTTGCTTGGCACCTTTGGTGTATAACCAAGATAGGGATCGTATTTTGTTCAAAGAAGACCCCAGAGACAATGGCCATAGTGACACCGTGCGCCCGAAACAGACGGAAAACAGTTCGACTGCGAGCATTCCAGTGAAGAGATTAGGAAAATGGTTAGAAGCTCTTTGGCTCATAATTGCATCGGTTAATGTATTTACATCAAATAAACGGTGTTTTTATTTTTTTTATTACGAAGGAACACGAAGTGAAGCTGCTCTGTTTTAACAAAACGCACGGCAAAGTCTATATCAAGAGTAAAGCATTCTAAATTAATCTGTACTTTCCGACACAATTTACACTCAGAGTGAATTTCTCTTTCCACCCTGTTTTCAGCGACTTTGAGCACTAAAAAAATGAATCTTCAACGTTTAAAAAGGCATTGATGCAAACACAAAATATTTATTTCCTATATAAAGCGATATCAACCACGTAAATCTGACTTAAATAAAAAAAAATCTTGGTGACGTCACTCGTTTAAACAACTCACGATTTTTTTTTTCTTTTTGTTTTTTTAACGCATTTTTTAATATACATCTTCTGAACGCTGTTGCCTACGTGTACTGGGCTGTGCAATGCGTTCCGAGCATGCGCAGTTGCTCTCTCTTGCCGAACATCAGCACACGTGACATGTTTCGACCGGGTGACAAGCGCTAAAAAGGGGCAACACGCAGTTTGCCATATAGCACTGGCACAAACCAAACAGGGCTATCAGCCCGGAAAAAAAAAAAAGAAACACTAGAGTGATTAAACCAAACACAAAAATTGCATTAAAAAAAATTGGATTTGCTTGAAGCCGCGTCTATTAACAGCATACTTAAGCGCGTCTTCTTTTCATTTTTTTTTTTTTTTTTCACGGCAAATGTTTAGATTGGACTATTTTCCGGTTATCGTCCGGCAAGAACGCGCCAATCTTCGTGCTGTGTCGGCGTTGCGGAAGCGTTTAGAGAAGCGTCACACGCGGATCAGCCCATCCGCACTCCGTCGAACGTATATAATCTCAGCAGCTGATAATTACCTCGAGTTCATACACCACGATCGAACTGATATATTAGCTGTATATACGCGTATACCCCCCCCCCCCCCCAGCGCAACACAGACTTCCGCGTTTGCGCATGCGCAGTACCTACAGCAGCGCCACCGCAGTGGTGTGATGTCAGAGAGTTGCGTTGGTCTATGCACACAGTAACTCGACCTTCTGACGTCAGGCTCCTGCGGTGGCGCTTCCGTCGGCACTGGCAGTGCGTGCACACCCGGTGCTGTGGCATGCACGGGCCTTGTTTACGTAGACAGTGCGTTGGTGGATATAAGTCACGTGACAGCTTAAGAAACGTGGGGAGTCACGAGCACCTCATTATCGCTCCTCGGCCAATGAGACTGCATGCAGACGCGGTAACGCCGACGAACCAAGCACCGAGGCGAGAAGCGTGAACCATCACATAAGCCGCGTCCTATACTTCTCAGGCTGTCAGGGGCGGTAGAAATAGTTCAGCAGTCAATCTCACACTCCGGCGGACTAAAGGTAAGGCTGGAGCGTCACCGGCAGGTCCAATCACGAGCGAGATGGGAGAAATCGTGTGGTACCATATATATATATATATATATATTTCTCCGACCACGTATAAATACCGTCAAGCCAATATACACAGTGCGTGTTGAATTATATACGTGGCTTGCGATTTGACCTGGCGCTTCGTTTGACTTTAGTTTATCGAAAGGTGAGAAGAACAGTCTATAACAGTGTATGCGTAAACGACTGCGAATCCAGTTGCAGAACGTTTGGTGAGCATATCATCGCATCCTATGCGAGAAAAAAAAAGTTCCCACCAATGTGCGGATGTAAAACATTGAGCATGACGTCACACGTGTTCAGTGCCACCTGTAAACCTCAAACTGAGCGTGTGTAAGCATATAGTGTTATGTATACAACCTGAATCTCTTTTATTTCGCCCGTGTAGAGAAAAGAAATGGGGTGCAGAGAAAAGGGCGGGTGTTTTGGCCGTTAAAAAAGGAACGGTAATCCACCGCGGTCAAGAAAAGGGCGGAGGAGAGGTCAAAATCCCCGACTTTTCCAAACATCTTTTTGCCTTGCAAGTTGTTTTCCCATGCCAACACCCCCAAGACGTAGTTTTTTTTGTTTTTTGTTTTTTTTTCTTGTGAAGTTTGAATGCATTCACACGGTGTAAAAGAGAATCATCCGCCACTCACGGCGTCAATATGAGTGTCTCGTTTTTAAAAGCTCTGGCTATCGTGCTCAGTATAGTGTTTACGTCAGCCCCCTCCTTTTCCTTACCCACCCTTCCCTTGCTTTTCCACTCTTTTTATTTTTATTTTTTTATTACGTGCTGGTTTTAGCGAGTTTCGGTGAGCGAGCGCATCATTCCTTTTGCGTTGCCTCCACAGTACACAACTCTGATCACAATATGAGGAAGTTCTCGCTTCAGTGTCCACTCGACAACAGTCACCCCGGTTATTTGAAGATTAGTGCAGATAAAAAACCCGAGAAGTTTTTTTACTTTATTTTTGAGCAGGTTTACCGACGACGAGTGTGCGCACATCGACAAGCTTTGTTCTTCTAGGCCCTGTTGCGTATACATATGGATAACGGACCGTCGCAAACCCGAAAACTTCCCGTCCATTCCCGTCGAAGCCGTGAGAAACATACAGCGCCGTCATAGATGAATAAATGCCGTAGAACGTGCAAAATAAGCATTCAGCTCAGACTATATGACTTGAGAGGAATCTTTATAGACCTTTTCCACAAGAACGCCGCCATCTTGAATTGTCGTTACTTCCAGTATGGGCGAAAACATTGTTTAGCCGTCGCCACGCCAATAGAAGACACTTAGGATATAAGCGTAACCGTCACACATTCTCATTTTGGCGCCCCTCTATTTTTTTACTGGTAACAGGTTGAAACGTTTTATTATTTTCTTGTCGCCCATACCGGATACGCCTATTTGGTGGCTGGGTATGAAAGTGCACGAAAAAGGTCGATAGAGCTGTTATTTGACTCAAAATTTGTGATTGAAAGAGCGCAGCGTTGTCTTTGGGTTCGATGCGATGACTAAGTCAGATCAGTCTCATTCTCACTGCTCTCTGCTCCGCGTACACATCTTTGAATGACGTTTTGCGACGTTGGCGGAGTTTCGCAAAGCGGACTGTCCTTTGCGTCTGTAACGTGATCACGTAGCTGCCCAAGATGGCTGCATCTATTTGTACCCGTTTCATACGATTCTACGTTCGTCCTCGCTACGTGAAAACAGTCAACTCAAGAAATAGAAATCTACGTACCCCACGACAAAAGGTTATCCATGCGGCGTTTATTTGTGTTTTATGTAAAAAAGAAAAAGAAAAAAAAAAGAACAGCATATTGAATTGACGAAAACGAGAATCGTCTTGCGACGAGCAACGTCCAAACTACAGCGAGAGCCCGCACCAAAATAAGCGTTCCTCGGACACCAAAGTCGTTTCAACGCAGCTATACCAAAGTCGTTTCAACGCAGCTATACGAAGGGACGGGAAAAAAGTTGATCCCCAAAATGTAGTCAACTATTCATGCTGGAAGAGTTCACTTGGAAAAAAGGGTAGTAGGATATTGAGGCTGACGGAGAAAGGTTGCTTTTACTTCCGCGTTTGCAGAGAAGGTAGTATCCCCAAAGTATTCCTTGTTGTGCTTTTAAAAAGCGTCCAAACAACGTAAGAAACTGATTTTGCTAACTTAGTTTTACTGAGAATTGGCTGAAATATTTGCATGTTCAATTTTGTTCTTCTAGTTCCCGTTTCGGGTTGCCTCAACCTATCGGGGAAGGCACCTGCTAAAACCCCTTAAAGCTATAACCACGCAAATACACACGCATACTCATTCATATATTTAGCATTTGATACATTTTGAAAACAGTTGTTAGTGTATAGCGTGACAACACCACGCTCGGAGTACGGTAATAAAACATAATCTCGCAAGCGTACGCCGGCAGCAATCCCGATTTTAGCCTTCCCAGTGTTGCCTATTTGGCCACGGTGGCGCTGTTGATCGACCGACGGTGGCGCACTCTGGTACATTCTGCCCAGCGCCTATGGCACTGCCACAGGCACACTCCCTTCTAAACTAAAGTATCTTTGGAAGCGAACCCTCATATCTATACGCGCTACAGTTCATCTATGGGCCTTAACGTACTCGCACAGCTCATCTAGAATATATGACGCATATTTTCAGAGTTTATTTATACAGTCTTCCAGCGTAGTGCCACCAGTTCATACTCTATAATCTTCTAACGTATTTTCACAGTCCATCTATGGCGCTTTAACCAAGTCCTACAGGTCAATTACAGTCCTCTATAGGGTTACCCCGTGAGGACATTATATGGTCTTATGACGTATATTCCCTCAGCTCGATATGCATATGGTCCTCTAACGCAGTTCAACAGCTCATCTATGGTCTTCTATAAGGTGCCTTTACAACTCATCTGTGGTTCTGTATAATTTACTGCCACTGTCCCGTTATGGTCCTCTGTAATGTGCTACCACAGTTCATCTGTGTCCTACTACCCCGCACGTGTCAAAGAGAGCTCCTCACCTTGAGCAGCGACTCGTGTAGCGCGTGGTGCTGTCCCATGGCGGGAGAACAGCAACTGGACGGGTCCTGGTGCGACCCGTAGCCCATGCCGAGCATCGCGGGATTCGAACTGGGCGCTAGTCCGTGCTGCTGCTGTTGCTGCTGATGCTGCTGGTGCTGTTGATGATGTTGCTGCTGCTGCTGATGATGATGTTGCTGTTGCTGCTGCTGCATCATGTGCACCGGGCTCTGTGCCTCGGCGGCCATCTTGGCCGAGCTCTTACTCGAGTGGTGGTGGTGGTGGTGACCCGGGGTTGCCTTCTGCGCCTGCCTAGCCGCCTCTCGCTTCTCGCATTTGAACCTCTTCTGGCGGCGCAGGTAGCAACCGTTCTCAAACATGTTCCCGGAGTCTGGATGCAGGGTCCAGAAGGAACCCTTGCCCGGTTTGTCCGGGGTCCGGGGCACCTTGACGAAGCAGTCGTTGAAGCTGAGCGAGTGCCGGATGGAGTTCTGCCAGCGCTGCTGGTTCTGCCGGTAGTACGGGAACAGGTCCATGATGAACTGGTAGATCTCGCTCAGGGTCAACATCTTCGACGGGCTGTTCTGGATGGCCATAGTGATGAGCGAGATGTAGGAGTAAGGGGGCTTGGCGTGCGTGTACGACCGCCGGTAGGTCTTGGAGTCCGTTCGGGCCCTCTGGAGGGCGTTGGGGGACTCCGGTCCACCCGAGGGGGCAGGGGGACCTCCGGGGGGCCCCGACAGGAAGTCGCGACCCAGGCCGCCAATGAGGCCCGCGGACACGCCGTTCATGCCGGCAGCCGACGCCTGTCCCAGGGTGTTCATCGAGTTCATGGAGCCCAGCGGAGCGACGGAAGGCGACATGCACGCCGAGCTGGATGTCATGCCGCCGTTGCCGAAGGACTGCGGCGCGTATCCCGGGTGCATGCCCATGCCGGCCGCCATGTTGTAACCCGCCGCGTTGTTCAGGGGCTGCATGGCCACGGCGCCGGCGGCCGCTGCCGCGCCGCCGTTGCTCATGCCGCAGCTCGACGCGTCTTGGTAGCCCTTGTGTTGGCCCAACATCGCGGTGGCCGTCATCGCAGCGGGGGATACGTCATGGCCCTGACACCCGCCGGCGATCAGAGGATGCGCGATGGGGAGCGAGCACCAACAACACACACACACTCACGGAGTCGAACGCACCAGCCGTCGCCCAGCCGCGCTGCTGGGTAAATAAGGCTCCCAGGCGGCTGCATCGGACACTGGAGCCGCCTACCACCATTGTAGCGGGACCCCTCCGCCACGCCTCCCAAAGGCCACGCCTCCTCTGTGACGTCACGCGACGAGCGTCCAATCGGGGCTTGCGGTTGGTGGGGACGGCGCTCCGAAAGATTCGCCTTCCTCTGCCGCGCTTTGGATTTCTGTGTTGTTCTTTTAGCAAACGACGCCGCGTCGTCCGCGCGTGCGAGCGAGCGAGACGCGCGCTTCTTCCTGCTTCGCTTATACTTTTCCTTTTCGCTGTCTTTTATCTCTCTCTCTCTCTCTCTATTTCTCGACGCGTTTCCTCCTCGCGGCGTTCTGTGGCGGCGGCGGCCATTTTTGTGTTGTTCGGTGTTTCGGACGGGCTGCTGCGGAGCTTGGTGGCTGGGCGTGCGAGAGCGCGTGATGGCGTTTTTTTTTTCGGCGCTGGGGCGTCGTCGTCGCTCGGTCGGTCGTTCGTTTCTTCGACGCCGATGCTGCTGCTTGGGGAGAGGTTCTCGGTTACGTTTTTCCGCCGCCAGGAGACTCGAATGTTGATGCGATGACAGACGAGATTGTACGCGAGAGCGAGTGCCACCCCCCTCTTTCCCTCCATTGCGTACCCCCCTCGTCCTCTTCACTCGGTCCTGTCAAGCCCTGCTCAGCTTAATACCTTCGCTGTTCGTAGCAGTAGCAGGAGCCCATGTGGTACGCTCGAAAGACGTGTGAGGGTGGGAGGAGAGGGAAGGGAATGAGGAAGCGCATGTCAAATGCAGGACAGGCATCTCTTCCTGTATATCAGATCAGTTAAGAGGAGTGTGATATTAGGCTCCTACGTCGTCCGTTGTCGGGGAAAGTGTGTGACAATGTTCAGCTAATATATTGTAAAGCTAAAACAAGAAGATAAAAAGCTAGTCTAGCCACGTAGTCACACATTGGGCTCCACGAAGTGAACAGACGGTCCGTTGCTTTGTGCGTTCGTTTGCATACGACCAGTGGCAGTGGTCACTTCAGAGCGACGCATGGGAAACGTGATGTTTTCTGAACTTATTACGGAGAAAAGAGTACCCTGAATGTACTCGTCCAAAAAGGAATTGACTGTCAAATATAGGCAGTGTTAAGTCAGTCTGTGTTGTCGAAAGCGCCGATATAGCAAATGTGACCCATATGCCATAGCAGAGACGTTTCTTGTTATATGCTCGAGGTTCGACTGATGGGTATGTATATATTACACAATGTATACGCTTGGCCCTTGGGGATGCGTTGCTCTCACAGAAAGGGGTGTACTTGCAGGAGCAACTTACCAATTGTCACCTAAAAAAAATCAAATTGTTCATAATAGGTTGTACTCTGCACAACGTAGTTCTTACAGAGTTTGGTTGTCTGAGAATGAAACGACGCTTTGAGTTTGAAGTGTGCATGACCTGGGGGAAAAAAAATAACGAATAACTGCCATTCACTGAAAAGTTTTGTCTGATTTTTCGATGTAAGTTCATACTTATTATTGTTTGCTGGGAAACCGTAGATCTTCCAGATGTGTTTTCCAGAAGAAAAAGAAAAACGATGCCTCCTGTTTTTGAGACGTGCCGCATCCCTAAGTTTCTGGGGCATCAACGAATCGGCGCATGCACTAGAATGATGCCTTTCAGCCGAACAACACACATCGCAATGTGCCCTGGAAATATTTTATATGGCAGTCATAAAATATCAATAAGCTCTAATCAAGCTTTTGGGAAGCGTATATAGTTTTCATTCCACAACTCTAACGGTTTCTTTATTTCTTTTTTTTTTTTTCAATTTTTAGGGTTACTTTCACAAATTTACCGATTTATGGTTGTCTTGAAAAAAGATCGTAATGTTCCCGAGGGCTCTAATTGCCTGGGTATCATAGAACGCAAATCAATTAGAATTTTGATATTTCCTTAAAAAAAAAAAAATTTTGTTCCACGGAATATGTCAATAACTTCTCCGTGATCTGGAGAAAAAAAAAATAACGCATCTTAATCACAATTTCTTTTCTTACTTCTTTCCGTAAGCTAACGCTTTTATTGCGTGTTTCGAACAAATTTCCTTCACACTCAAGACGTTATTGGTTTTGTTTTTTTCCTTGTTCCGGGTACGAGTGTAGACTTATGTCATGTTCGCTTCTCTCACTTCTGACTTTGGCCAGGAGATTTGCGTATGCGCTGCAGAGAGCGGCAGCATGTCGACATCGAATATCGCGAACCGCGCCGTTCCCGATATCTGTGTAGTACACTAACGCTCCGATTGAATTATAACGTATCTCTGTTCTCTGGGAATTATCGATTTTCTCCTTCACCATGGCGGCTTTTCCCTTTTTTTTTTTTTTACTTTTTTTTTTCTTTACCTTTTTTGTCGTCTTAGAGCTGGAACGCCATAAAAAAGTTTTTGACGCGTTTCGTGGGCGTTTGTCTTTTTTTTTTTTTTCTACTGCTTTTATTATTTTTTTTTATCGTATATGAGTGTGTGAGCATAGAATCTGCTTTACTTGTTCGCCCTTTACGCCGTTGCGTGTTTTCAACCTAATACCTTTTATATATATATATATATATATATATATATATATATATATATATATATATATATATATATATATATATATATATATATATATATATATATATATGCACAAGAAATGTGGTGTACTTTGTCAAAGTAGCTCGGCGCGGAGCACCGCATCTTGTGGATTTGCATTTAAACATGGACGCGTAGCTAGCGTGTACTGATAAAATATTATACTCAACTTTTGCGTATGATCATAAAGATGAATCTAACTAGTTTACGGAAACAACCCTAAAGTCTGTAATAATTTTATCGTCATCATATTATGCTTTTGGTTCTGCTGTAATAAACACTAGTTAACGTTGCGATTTCGATCTGACGAACCGGAAGGAAACAATAGCGATCTGTCGACATCGAATTGTGGAAAGTTATTTCGGCGGCAGGTCTAAACGTCTGTAGATGCGTTCATCGATTAAAAGCATAGAGACAGGTCGAATTCCACGTAAGCATTGATAATAAAAGAGGCCCCTTTTTGTATAAATAGTATTTTAAAGAAATAAATTTTACTTAGACAACAAGTAAGCACATGGCTATAAAGCGTCTGCGGGAACACTGAGAGTATAACGTTTCGCTTGCGCACTGCGCAGTTTGCGTTCTCAAGTCGAGCGATTTCGCTTCGTAAATACCAGTGAAAAGACAGACGTTCATCATCGTTTAAAAACGAAACCGCCGGGACAAAAAAAAAATGAACAGCATACACACAAAAGCTTCCGCCTTGATTAGATTTATTTTATTTATTTATTTTTTTACGGTTTGGGGGGGGGGGGGGGGGGGGGGAGTAAACGGCTTTGGAGAAAAGTAGGAATACTGTAAGGTGAAAAAACGCTTGTCCGGTTTTTTAATATTTATTTATGTATTTTTACAACTTATAGATAGAACCAGCCCAAGTGTATACATATCCCTTCGAAAACTATACAGCACGCAGGCGCCACGGAAGCTTTTTTGGTGTATACACCCGAAATCCGCAGGGTTTTCATTTAGATTTCTGGTGGGATGCAAAATAGAAAAGAGAGAGAGAGAAAGAGAGGGAGAGTCTCAGACGCGGCGACAGTCCCAAAGTCGCCGTGCCGTTCCGATTTCGTCCGTGTCTCCCGCGCGCGGGAGCGGGAGGGGCTAATGAGCCCTGACTAACCGTCGTCTAGACTCTCAGGGACGCCCTGCCACCCGACCGGGTGTGTCCAACACCATACAGAATGACACCTGCGGAGACGCTCTCGGTATATGCCACGAGCCCCGAGGTCTTCGCTGCAATTGGCGTGAGAAACGAGGGAACGCTGTCACATTCGGACAGGAAGTGTGTCGCTGCTGACGTCTCGACGAGCGGACTCCACGGGGATTTTCAAGGTTCGGAGCAAATCGAGAGCACGTGGCTGGAACAACAATGCTGCAGTCAAAAAAAAAAAAAGAAGTTTGTCTTTTTGCATAACACGGAGCGTTTTATATTTCCCTGAGGCTTTTTTTTTTTTTTTTCTTTTTTGGCCTTTAAATATTGAATGAATCCAAGCGAAGAAAGATTCAGAGGGAAATTTTTTTTTTCTTTTAACATGTTGCACAATGGCATTTGTATATCGTAAAAAAAAATGTACATAATGAAAAGAAACAATACATACCAACTCGTCCTTATAATTACCGTATTTTTCGAGTAATAGCCTGCGGACTATATGGCATGTTTAAAAGGTGAAATTTTAGGCTGCGCGGACTATCTGCGCGTGAGGACTATACCGGAATTATGTTTTTCAGGATCGTTCATGATGACGAGACGTGACGTATTTTGTGCATGAAAGAGTATGTTATTGAGGGTTTATGTACAATACGCACAAGCTCTTTTGTGAGCTATAAAATCAAATATTTGTCAAGGTGTGCCATGAATAAGAAGATTTTCGTGTCGACTAAGCACCAGGGGGGGACACCGGGTGCAAACTATCTAAACAAAGACTTTTTTTTTTTTTCTCAGCTTAAATGGACCCTACGGTACAAGTTCCAGTGCCACCATCTGGCGGATTGATTACGAAACCAGGGCGTACGACACTCGAAATTCTTCTAGAGTCACTGCGCGAGAACTTAGAAAATGCAGGTCACGGTTTATTACGTTACCGCTTCTTGCTTGATTATTGTTTTTTTTTTTTTTTTTTTTACATTTTTTGGCGATTTTGTCAGATATCTTTTTGAACCTCATTGGTTGGTATGGACAATTCTTAGAATGTCACGCTCTGCCCGAGTAAATTTTAAGAAAATAATTATATACGAGCACGTAAAGGGTGCGTGAAGCTGCCACGAAGAGGATCATCGGAACCTCACTCGGGGCGTTCAGCAAGCCTGCACCACTGCGGGCAAGACGTGGGAGATAGCGAGCTTCTGCTGGGCCGCTTAATGTCACCGAGGCAAGCTCTACATTAGCCGGACTCGAGTGTACAAATATCCGCACGCAGAGGCAGAAAGAGAAAGGTCAGACAACAGGGCCCCATGCATGAGTGCACGCCATGGGACGTCCAAGGCTCCCCCGCGAGCACGATTAGATATATCGACACTCGAGATAAAACAAAACAAAAACGGAGATTTTAAAAGGGGACGACCGGGTACGGCTTATATCCGCTCTGAAGGCTAACTGGATGCATGCCGCCGATTGCCAGTGCGATATGGTGAGCGTGACAGACGCACACCACGTTCCCCAACACT